TCTCATTTTTCAGATTTCTTAATCTAAAAATTCATTTGTTGGATGATATGCTTCTGATACATGAACTATAAAAGACTTTTTAATTAGCCTTGAATTTTATAGAAGTTTTGTTGAGTTTTGATCTTAATTCAAATCAAATTTACTAATTGTTTAGTTTATCCTAAATCCTTTAACCTGAGGCTATAACTTTAATCCATATGCCTTGTAGTAAACTAAAATTTTATGACATAATGGGAAAATATGGCAGTTCCAGAACATAAAATTTTAACGATAAAACAATTAGGGTATGCTCCAATTTTAGCTTTTCACCATCCTTTCATGATTATTATGTTTTATGACTTTGTGTGAAACAGCTGATATTGGGCAAGAACTCAAGTTAAAATGCATAACTCCATGCAACAAGGTACAGAAAGCACAGGTGTTACTCCACATAATGTTTAATTTTGTACATTTTTTTTATAATTTAGTCCAAAGAAGCAAAATATAAATGAGTAAATTTTTAAAAGGAATATCCTAAACTACTATAAATATGAGGAAAAATTACCTTTCCATGAGCAAAAATACTGCAAACAAAAATAAAAACATAAGAAGTTTATTTTGTGAGAGGCTATTTAATGTGATTTCTCTAGATACTTACTGTGGACTCAAAACTCCTTGACAAATTGTCTTTATCTGATCAAAAAATCTTTTAACTAAAGTTTTATTAAAAATTTTAATTAATCAAGAAATTATTGCAAAATGAAAATATGGAACTATTTTCAAAAATCATTAAGAATACATTGGGGAGAGAAAGCGAACAAATTTGTGACTACTCTGACTAAGGGGTGCAGTCACAGATTGGGTGCAACTCTTGCTAAAGAAGTGACTGTGTGTCACTGTGTGTGTCAACCAGCAGAGCCAGTCAGGGAAATCTTAGTTGGTCATTATCTGATACTGCTTTATCATGATACCAATGAAATAAAGAAAATTCATAAAGCAACTTGCACAATGACTGTTTAAAAGCCCTGGCTGAGAAGAACTAAGGAAAACCCTGTCTATTTCTTCAACCTGCCTAGATCCCCAGGTTTACTAAGGGTATATTTTTTGAACTATACCACTAAAAATGAAGTAGACATTTTTGCTAAAGGATATTTAGAAACCACTATACCAGTTTGCTTTACTGAACATTGTCATGTATTTTACTCTGTCATAAATTTATCTGTGACCCACAAAATAAAAATATATGGTGGACTTCATGAAACTAATTGGTCAAAAGATTATTCAAATTGATTAGGGTAGAAAATGAACATGACTGCCTCATTAAATAATGCAAATACCAATGATCATAAAATGACTGTCTTTTTCTATGTGAATGTCATCAACCAAAGTACAAGAAAACAAACAGTAAAAAAGAAAAGAAAAGAAAACAGACAGTAGACAAGGAATTATCACTACTCTTTTCCCTTAGCTAACTCTGTTCCCCTGATGATATGAAAAGAAAATTTTTCCATTGGGTTATTAGGCAAGATTACTTAAGGTAAAATGACCTTTGATCAGTAAAATACATTATTAGTGCTTGGAGAACTATAAATACCTGTTAAGGCATCATTGGTTTTTTCACTTATAGTGAGCATGTCCTAGGTAGGCATTTTAGAAGTTATGCCTACAGAGTAGTTCCAAGAGTCATTAATTCCAATGAGACATGGAACTTTTTGTCTAAAAGTAATATCATATCTACCTCATACATATCTCATCTCCCTGCATCTGAGCTATAATTCTGTGTCATTGCTAAAAATACTCTTGTAAAAAAAGAAATTCTGACACTTTCTGCATGAAAGCTGTGGTCCTGTCCTATATTCTTCTAAACAGATTAATGACAAGTATGGGCAATGATAGTTTTGTGAGTTTGAATGTTCAGTTGAGTCTAAGAAGAGGGTAACCAAAGCCCATGGTATTACTCATCTAGCCATCAAACTTTAGGAGGTATATAAAGGACAGTTGGATTGGCATTTGGAGGAGTTTAATAACAAATTTTCTAAAACAGAATACAACATAGGACCCTTAATCTGATACAGGGTGTTTGAAGAAGTTATGGAAGCAAGTAACAGGGCAATAATGAATGAGGCTGCAGAGGTCTGAGACAGGGACTTACGTTATCTTTATTAGATCATAAACTAAAGAATTTTTTAAAAATCATAACCCTGACAGGGAAGAGGCCCAGGAAAATTCTAAGGTTAGAATCTTTCAACTCTTCTTTATTCATAACATATCCACATGTTTCCGTGTTTTTCAGGCCTGGTTATAGATACAAAGTAAGAAAATACCTTATTACAGTGAGTATTTTGAAAGAGATCAGATGGCCTCCTGTGACAGTGCCATGTTG